TCGTATAAGTGACCGCCCCGCCTCTTTGTCGACCCCGTCGCCCCAGATGTCGAATCTCCCGTTGGAATCTCCCGACATGTCGCAGTGCCTTCCTTCATTGAGCATGTGGAACGAAGCTCCCTTCTGCGTGGTGAACAAGCCCATCTCGACGGTCCAAGACAGGATAACAGACCAAGAACAGGGAGAGGCCTCATCCCACTCCATCGCGCCGCCACACGATCTCGGCTCGGCTGTGATGGATCCCATCGTCGACTCGGTCGAAGGCAGCTCTCACGTCGTCAGCCCTGCGATAGCCGACGATGACAACGTCTTTCAAATGTATCTATTCAGCACGCCCTACGGTCAACGTGGACGGACGGTCCGATTCTATCCAAAGGCGGGCGATGCAGGTGGGGGTGGACCCGTCCGTGTGATAGTCTTCAACACTGCCCCGAGACGCGGCCGCAGGGAGAAGGAGTGCCGAGCGCTGGCGGCGTCGAAGTGTGCAATGATTGAGAGACACATCGCGCCTTACGAAGAAGAGGTGATCAATTTGTGAGTCTCGCCTCGCCCGCTTCTGTTCCCTGCTCTGCGATGCAGCTTTCCTCGTGTTGACCCGCTCTCCCCAGGTTTTTTGATAAGATCAACAAGTGCTTCCCTATCTTTGACGAGGTCCTGTTCCGGCGACTCTTGCTCACTCAGAAAGATAAGATCTCGCCCTCTCTACTCGCTTTTCTATATGGAATTACCCTGATATACTGGAACACCTCCCCGAGCCTCAAGAACGTTCCTCGTCCAGACCCTTGGCCCCTCTGGAGGCTGGCTGAAGACACTCTTAACGAAGAGTTCAAATGCACGCCTGGCATTTCAACCATAATGTCAATCCTTATCAACCTCTCTACCCGGCCCAGTCTTCTCAATCTTGGGAATAGCGCCTTGATGGGGATGGCTGTGTCCCTCGCCAATGCATTTGGGCTGAATCGGGACCCTTCGGGATGGAACCTCTCACTCACAGAGAAGAAGTTTAGAATACGAATATGGAGGATCGTCCTGATCTGCGATCGCTGGTAAGAAAAACATCACTATGTCCTTCCCCATGTGCCCACTGTTCTTTTGGAGCCGAGACAATGACCACTGGGCACCGCAGGTGTAGCTTGGCGTACGGCACCCCGCCTCTGATAAATCGAGTCCAGCACGATGTCCCGATTCCCGCCGTCGAGGACCTCTACAACCCAGGCGCCTCGGCCGACCAAATCAGCGCCACGCGTCGTTTCGTTGCCCTGGCCACCTTGACCGACGTCCTCGGCGATTGTTTAGAACTGGTATACCGCCTCGAGATGGACCCGTCCAAGAGGGACGCCACTCCACACAGCCTCGAGAGCCTTTTGACGCATTGGGAGGACTCTTTGACGGACAACCTCCGTCGCGAGGTTCTCCGCGGCAAGCACCTCGTTGGCCCAGGTGCGGCTAATCTTCGACTGGCGTATTTGTCGGTCAAACTCCTGGTCCGGCGTCGCCAACTCGACCTAGACAAGACGTCTCGCCAGATCGGCGATGTTGACTCGCTGTGCTTCCTACAGGCCCGCAAGGCGGCCGAAGAGGTGGTCGACTTTGTGCGAGAGTTGGAGGAGTCGCACTGTCGGGATTTCTGGATCCCTTTCAACGCGCACACGCTTACGTCAGCGACCACTTTTCTTCTGAGAAGTGCACTCTCTTCCAGGGGACCTGTACGGAATACTTCGTTACAACTGGCGCGGCGCATGATCGAGGCACTCGACTCCCACCGCCGCAACTACGCCTGGGATCTCGCGGACAACTGTCTAGCAAACTGTACCGACTTGATGGACAAGATCGAGGCGGCATGTGAGGAGCCAACGTGCAGCACGACGGCATTACAGGAGTCCATGCCGACGGACATGGACATTGAAGCACTCGAGGACTGGTTCCCAGACTTCCCGAACATTTATCCTCTAGACCATACGGGCTGAGCACCTCGGGGAATTGCACGCTCGTTTCGAGGACCCTCCACGCATGGAAGTCGATTCCAGGCTTCGATACACGCCCCCCTCCCCTCCAAAAACAAGAGACATTGTCCCTTCTCTTCTCTCCCTGGTCTCAAAATGTCCCAAATTTCCCAAATTTATTCACTAGACTAACCAGAGCCAAATCTTTTCCAACAAATTTCTCGGCTTCGTCTCGGGCCACTCCTGGGCGTCCAAGGCCGCTTTGCCTGTGAACAGGTCTGCCTCCCCAGGCTTGACGAGGCGAGTCCGTTTGAAGATTTTCCAGAAGAGATAGAGACCAAAATAGATGGGGACCCCGACGTAGGCGGAAAGGAATCCCTTGACAGACCAGTTACCATTGGTGAACACTTCCCAGCCGTTGAACAGGAGTATGGCGCTGAAGAAGCACAGGGAAACCCAGGCTGCGTAGGGTTGCAGAGGGGACTTGAAAGGGAGACTGCTGCGATCCACAGCCTGCGCTTCCAGAGCTCGGCGGAAACGTAGGTAAGAAATCGAAATACTACACCAGGTAAAGAGAGAGGCCACGGTGATGATGGTCAGAAGCCAGCTAAAGACTTCAGTCGGGCCGGCGGAAACCGAGAGATAGGCCAGGCAGCTCCAGATAGCGGTGAATGCAACGCCGTAGATCGGAATACCCTTGTCCGTGCATTTGAGGAAGATGCGAGGGGCCTGATTGATTTGGGCCAGACCAAATAAATATCGCGAGCCGAGAAAGAGGACGGCGTTCGCAGACGAGGACGCCGACGTAATCATGACCGTGTTGATAATGCTGGGGAGAACGCGGATGTTGGCTCGATTAACGGCAATGACCCAGGGCGATACACTTCCAAGGTCCGGGTCGTCGCAGGGAAGCGAGCCTCCCACGTAGAAGATCAGGATGCGCCAGAAGACGCGTGAGATGACCCTTGGCACGTTTCTCCGCGGGTTCGCGGTCTCGCCGGCGGCGATGGCGACCATCTCGACGGTGGCAAAGGAGAAGGCCGCGTACACGAGTGTCGAGAACAGCCCGAGGAAGCGTCCCGCACCGCCGGTGGCCACGACCTCCTTCATCGCAGGTCCAGGGTTGTACCAATAACGAAAGCCCAGACGGTCTCCTGACGGACTACCACCGAGGTCCACAATGAACGCCATGATCAGGAGACCGACGATCGTAACAATCTTGAGGCTGGCGAAGACGAATTCGGCCTCGCCGTAGATCGACACCGCCAAGACGTTGAGACAGACGATAACGACGATAATGATACTAATCCAGGCGGCCGGGTTGATCTCGTCGTTCCAGAACTGCACCAGGACCGCGGCAGCCGAAATCTCGGCGGCGAGGCCGAGGGCGCAGAGGATCCAGTTGTTCCAGCCGACGGCGAAGCCCATGGCCGGATCGGTATAGCGAGAACAGTACTGAGGAATGGCACCGGGGAGAGGTAACCACGTCGTCATCTCCGTCAGGCACATCATCATGCAATAGACGGCGACGCCAGTGAAGGAGAATCCGAGGACGACGGACACAGGGCCCGACTTTGCAAAAGCTGATCCAATGCCGAGGAATAGGCCGGTGCCGATGGTGCCCCCGAGTGCGATGAACTGCAGGTGGCGAGCCTTGAGACTATCGTCAATCGTTTAGTACGAGCCCATTGACCATCTCATGCGTTACAGGCAGCACCCACCCCCTGTGAACGTATCCTAGCTTCTGAGCCGTCGCCGCGTCACCGTACACGTCCAAGGCCTCGCCGAATGCGCCGTTAGCAACGACCTTCTGTTGTCCCACCTGGACGTGGACCTGAGAACCCTTTTCGGCCTGTGAGGTGGACAGCGTCAACCTGGTGTCTGTCTTGAGGTCGTCCAACATCTCAGCCATCTTTGCTGGTCCGCTGTAGAGAGAACTTGGGGATGATTGTAACGTGGATCACACGCCGAGTAAGTGACAGATGCGATCGAGTGGCTTTCGAAGAGACAATTGCCAGAGGACCTGGTCAAACAAGTACATCAGACGGCGGAATGGACTGGGGCATTCGATGAGTATAGACTCAAGACTCAAGGATTTACCAGTCGATTGGGTTGGCCTCCTTCCTTATCTTCGATCCAGAGGATAGGACAACAGGACAAATGGACAAAGCTGGGACAGGACCCGTGCCGTCATTTGACCGCCACGAGATATACCAAAGTATTCCGTATGTTGCGGCCGTCGAGTCGGACGATAAGACCATCTTTGGTACAGAAGCGGAAAACCTATCGTGATCTACTGAGGATGAGAGTTTCGGCAAACCCGGTACCTTCACAGTTCTTGCTTTCCGGACAATAACGCTAACGGTAAACTTTGTCAGCTCGAGCTCGGCGTTGGAGGCGGACATGGATGTTGCCCGATGCTATACGGAGAGATGGTATTCTGCACATCCATATCCGACAAGGGGGCTTGAGGTGAGGTCTAAACTCCTAAAGTCGGGGCTCGAGGCTCGAGATTGCCCTGAATCTGATGGAGAGCGGAAAAGGTAGCAGCGCGAGATTCCCGAGCGGCTACTAAAGGACCATTCATTGTCTGTGCCTTGTCTCTACTCGATACTGTTGAATACTAGGGAGGTAGTATTAACAGAGTCTCGTTGCTACAAAAGATTCTCGCTCTCGACCTGAACTATACAAGGCGTAGACAGCTCCCGACTTTCACACTCAACCTCAACCTCAACCTCAACCTCCAATCCTCCCCCATCATTCCTCCAAATGGGCTACGACAACGATGCCTTCTTTGCCCGAGCGGACAAGTATATCCTGAATACCGTCGCACCATGGGCACCGACGGTCATCACACGGACCAAAGGTATCTTTATCTATGACGCCGATGGCAAGGAGATCATCGACTTCACCTCTGGCCAGATGAGCGCGAGCTTAGGCCATTGCCACCCAGAGATTGCGCAGGTGGTGAGTAAGAGTATCACGGAGCTCGACCACCTCAACAGCACGATCCTGTCGCCGCCCGTGGTCGACCTCGCCGAGGAGATAGCTCAGTTACTCCCGGCGCCGCTGGAAAAGACCTTCTTCATCTCGACAGGCTCGGAGTCGGTCGAGGCCGCTATCAACCTCGCCAAGGCAGCCACCGGCAAGTTCGAGATCGTGGCCTTCTCTGCGAGCTATCACGGCGTCACCGGTGGCGTCTCCGCGGCTACATACAGCGTCGGGCGCAAGCATGGCAAACCCGTCGTTCCGGGCCACCTCGCATTTCCCGCACCCAACGCCTATAGATCTGTGTTCCGCACGCCCGACGGGAGTTACGACTGGGAGACCGAGATGGACTATGCATGGGGCCTGATCGACGCGGCGTCGGTGGGCTCCCTGGCCGGGTTCGTCATCGAGCCGATTCTCTCGTGCGGCGGCATCCTGGAGCCGCCCCTAGGGTACTTCAAGCGACTCTACGCTGAGTGTCACAAGCGCGGAATGCTCCTCATCGACGACGAGGCGCAGACCGGCGTGGGCCGCACGGGGGACATGTTCGCGTTCGAGCGCGACGGCTTTGTCCCAGATATCTTAGCCCTGTCGAAGTCGCTAGGCTGCGGCATCGCGCTGTCGTCGGTGAGCACGAGCGCCGAGATCGCGAAAAAGGCTCTAGACAAAGGATTCTACTTTGGGACCACGCACGTCAACGACCCGCTCCCCTGTGCGGTCGGCTGCAAGGTCCTCGAGGTCGTCAAGCGAGACGGTCTGGTTCAAAAGGCCAAGGAGCGTGGCCTCCAATTGACTCGGGGGCTCCTCCAGCTCAAGGAGAAGCACTGGTGCGTGGGCGATGTCCGTGGCCGCGGCTTGCTCCAGGGCATCGAAATCATCGGCGACCCTGTGACCAAAGTCCAGAGTAGCGAGCTGGGCGCCATGATAGCAGCCAGGGGCCTGGAGCTGGGCATTTCCTGCCAGATCCTCGCTGTCCCGGGGGCGTTTGGCGTCTTCAGGATCGCGCCGCCGCTGATCGTCTCGGCCGAGGAGATTGACCGGGCCTTGTCCATCTTGGACCAGTCCATGGCATTTGCTCTCTCCCAGGAGCCGTATCGAAACGTCGTTGTCAAGGAGCGCGCAGTCAACGGCACCGCAGTCAGTGAGAGCGCTGTCAAGGGCCCTACGGTCAACATTACTGCGGTCAATGGCGCTGGCATCAAAGCTCACTAGAGAATTGAGTTTGAGGGATGAATTCACCTTCAAGTATGACAAATAGATCTTATTCAACGGCGAGTGGTCAACGTCGAGACAAGACGTGTGATTTCTTCCCTTTTTACATTTCCTCCGAAATGCTACCGAGAGACCTCCGCTCAGCTGTAGGCTCGGTCAGCACTCTCGTGGCTTGTAAGTTATCGTCATTGTCACTTAGTGTTATCGAGAAGCTCCCTGTACACATCGTAGAACGTAGCGTTCAGCATAGGAGATCAATGTGCCCGACACGGACCGGTAAACTCTTAGTAGTGTCAAACTCCTGAAAACTAGGTAAGACAAATTCTTAAGGCACAGCGGAACTTCAGTCTCGACCTTGGGCACGTTAGGCTAGAGGGAGATTCCAGAAGCGACAACGGGCAAGAAGCCATCGTTCTGGTCAATAGCAGTCTATAGTGGAAAAGCTACCCGGCGAGACTCACACGTCAGTGCCTCTCGCTTCAATCCCTAGCGAGCAAAGAAAAACTATAACGAATCAATAACGTGTTTGACTGGACGATCCGGGAATTCACTAACACTGATTACCGCTCACATAGAATGGTGTAGATAGGAGATGAGGAGTAGACACTACAAGCCTATTAGGTTATTCCAGATCGGAAACAATGAGGCCTCGAGCGAAGTGAAGTGCGGTATGGCCGCACTGAATACTCCGCAGCTTTCGAGACGGCCCTCCGTCGATGACACAAGGGTGGAGCCAATATCAATGCTCGAGGAGGAACCTATGGCAATGCGCTCCAAGCAGCATCAGCAGAGGGTCACATCAAGGTGGTTCAGATCCTCCTCGAGGGTGGAACCGATGTCAACGCTCAAGGAGAGGATGGTAATGCGCTCCAAGCAGTATCAGCAAAGGGACATTTCTTGCATCGCTACCACTGTGATTTCCAGGCCGTGGTGTTTGAACTTTTGGGACCCAATCCGGATGATTTCTTTCGACGCTGTGACAACAAATTCTCACTCAAGACAACATTGATACTGATGGATCAGCTCCATCATCGGGTTAAAAGCCTCCACGCGGTAGGATACTCCATCGTGATATCAAGTCTAAGAACTTCCTACTAGGCACTGGTAAGGAGGGGTAACATTGTCTACATGACCGAATTTAGACTCGACACCTATCGAAGGGATTCACACGACCAAGCTATAAGCTTAAGGAATTAGGGGCTCCCAAAACGGGCGCCTAATAATTAGGGTTAATTGATGCATGGGCTGTTTGCGAACCGTGTACTTGAATGGGGCCAAAATGAAATAGCCACTCATCCTTTTCTTGTGCATATGTCCAGTCAAAAGTGGAGGCTTGATAGCGGCACCTCGATATTCCCCCGTCTTGCAGCGGGACCTTCTCCAGATTCACAATGCACTCAGTCTGGCTTGCCGGGTTGTCCAATCAACTCCTCATAGATCTCGGTTCCTTTGGTGCAGGAGTGATGGAGCGACCGAACAGTGCTCGAGAGTTTAATTGCCACCACTCCATCCGTAGAAACGTTGGAGTCGGCGTAGATTAACCAGAAGCGAACAGTGGTTCATCGTCCAATCGAGCCTGATCCTATTTGTGTTTGGTAATGCCCACCTACGCGTATCTCGGGAAGGTGTGAGGGTGCATCGGGAATAGACTTGATGGAATCGGTGTAAGAGAAAGTTGAAGGGCGGGACCTCACATCAGGCTGTGGGCCACGTGTCTAGACCAGCGTTTAACTTAACACTTCCCTCTCTTTCCCTCTCTGTCTGGTCACACCTTGACGCATTCGATAACCGCAACGTCAGTCGCCAAGCTCTTGTGCACGCCGATAATCTTCAACCCAGCACTCGCTGTCAGGTCATCGAACATCTTCTCGGTCCGCTCCTTGCCACCGAGGTTCATCATGCAGAGATCGGTCCAGGCATTCAGGGCCGTGGGCGGATTTGGCATGACTTGCTCGGTGATTAGGACTCTGGAGTCCGGGGCCATGGCGTCGGCGAGGTGAGAGAGGATGATGCGATCGTTCGTGTCGGACCAGTCATGCATGCAGCGCCGGATGTAGTAGACGAGAGCGCCTGGAAAGGAGGAAAAAAGGGGGGGTTAGACTCGCGGAGGGAAAGGCGAGGTGGGAAGGAAGGAAGGAAGGAAGGAAGAGAAGGGTAGATAGAACTCGCCTTTGACAGGGTTCGGCTGGAAGAAATCATGCGGAATCTTCTTGACCTCTTCAAAACCGGGTTCGTTGGCCTGAATGACTTCCTGAATGACCGGTGCCCGGTCCTGCAACACCAGTCTCTTGGCCGGGATCTCAGGAAACGCAGCCATGATGCGCTTGAGGGCCTGGCCTTTGCCACCGCCGACATCGACAATCAGCGGTCTGTCCTCGGGATCTTCCGTGTTCTTCGCAATCCAGCTGAAATCGTACATTCCCGTCACCGGCAGCACCTCGTCGAGCGTATTCATGCTCTGATTAAAATCGACCAGACGTTCCGGGTCCTTGCTGATGACTTCCCAGAAATTCTTGTCCGGGTCGCCCCACGCGAACGAGTGGGGATTGTGATTCCCCAACTTGGGTTCTTTCAGACCGTACTTGGCGAAGAATTGCGGCCACTGGGCCCATGGGACCATGGCTTCATCGAACCTGAAAACAGAATAGTCCTCAGTGTCACACATCGCACGAAGCGAGGGGGGCGGGACGTTTACATGATCTGGAAAAAGACCCCTTGGGCGTTTCCAGAGACATAGAGCTTTGAAAGCCTGGAATGTGCGACACGGTTCTCCCCAATTTGATGGAGGAAACCTGTAACGTGTTGAGACAACGAGACTCGAGCGCAGTCATATCCACCCAAACTGACCTGTAGCCACCATCATCCAAGCCATGCGAGCTTGCAACCGGTCAGTCATGTCTCGGCGAAATGTGCAACCAATCAAGCATACTGACGAGCGGCACCTCAGCACCGAGACTGGCCGCCAAATCCTCGTAGGAAATGCTTCCTTCCAACGGAATCTTGTCAAATGCTTTCATCTTCATAAACATCCGAATCGCCCCCATCTCGGCCATCTGGAGCAAGTCTCAGTTGGGCATCGTCCAGGGTGTATAGGGAGGGACATAAACACTCACGTGTGTCGAGAATTCATATGGCGTCTCACCAGGCTCCCGGACGACGTTGATGATCTGTCGGGCCGCATTGGTCATTCGTTGACGAAGTAGGAGACCTTGTTGCCCCGAGGGGTCCTTGTATTCCTTGGAGGTCTCATAAATCTGATTGGTCAGGGCGTTGAGAGACTCGACGAGCTCACTTGCGGCGACATCCAATGCGGGCGGGTCGTTTCCTTGGGAGCTCATTGTGGCAGAACGAGAGACGGTGGAAAGCTGAATAGCTTTTTTCAGGGGTTCAATCGATGCCTGAATGAAAGACCGTAGTAACAGATGACAAGGTTTCTACTTTCGATGAGGGGGATCGAAACCCCTCGATAAGGTCCTTCTGCCCCTCACAAGGCCGGCAGGATTATGCGGGAGTTGCAATCAGACCTCTTCCATGGACCATGACACCCATGAACGCAGCATGTGAAGGGAAGATGGGGACTGGCTCTGATTGTAGACAACAAAGCAAGTTGATATGCACGTTTGCGCAGTTAGGTGCGGCGCTTCGGACGCAACACTAGTGTCCGCGACTCCACGCTCCCTTTAGCTTGGCGGGAGGTGACTGGCCGGGAAGTGTATGCTGGCAACCGTCTCGATTGAGCTGGTTGCAGGAACGAGGGTGTTTTGGTTGCATCGTGGCCCCCTGTCAATTAGAGTCGCCAAAAAAGAGTTAGACGGCTCACCGTAAGTATTTCGCCATTCTCGGCCGCTATCGGCACGGCTCTCGGGTTGGCGGTGCCGGTAGTCCCAGCCCACGGCCCCACACACAGAATCCCAGCCTCAGCCAGCTTTCCAGTTGCTTCTTCAGGTGTGAACTTCTCAAGTGGCGGACGGGAAAGACTCCCCCCGTCAAAAGTACTCCCCCACTCACCAGGACGCATCACCCGAAGTACCGACTACACAGCGTCCGTGGTTTCCGCCTAGATTAAGTTTGAAAAAGCTCAATGGTCCGCAAGACGATGGTTGTTCCATATGAGACAACATCATGATAAAATAGAGACAACTGAACAATGACAGACACACCACCGGACAACAATAATCAGAACCAACAGATCACACAGGCGGCTATAGAGCCAGACGTAAGTTCGATCCATGCTCTGCTCCAGGAGTTTTTGCTGAACCCGCGATATTGCAGTCGCCGCCGGAAGACGAAGGTTTTGCAGAATCAAGGTGATTTGGCTGAGCCAGCCTTCAATCTCCTATATCATATCGCTGACGGAAAAAAACCTTCTAAAGCACGTCTAGTTACTGTACTTCGATCCAGTCGGAGATCAGGAACGGGCGGATTGAGAATGGTCGTGTGTATGCCGCGTACGGACGAAATGGTAATATGCATATTAGTTTTCAACTCCCCTTCCGAAGACTTTTTAACATGGATTATCAGAATATGGCTTGCCCGTTGACGATTACGAGCTGGAACGGATCGACATGAACCACGAAAAGTACACTCTGCTGCAGAACAACAAGCTATTTCTTGCCCCGTTGCCTCCGAATCCCCAGAAGATGTTAGATATTGGCACCGGCACAGGTACTTACTTCTAACTCGCAATCCACGAAACCCGAAGCTCGAGAAGAGAGGTTCTGACACAGTAGTAAGGAATCTTTGCCATCTACCTCGCCGATATGTTCCCGTCGGCTGTAGTCCTCGGAACGGATATTTCGCCCATCCAACCCCCATGGTTAGCGTTTTCCTGGTTCAATCGAAGAGGTCCAAAGAGGCTGATGAGACACAAATAGGGTCCCTCCCAATTGCCAGTTCGAAATTGATGATGCAGAAGAAGATTGGCTGTATTCAGAAAACTCATTCGATTATATCCACGGCCGAGATCTCTACCATTCGATTCGCGATTGGCCCAGGCTTATCGGGCAGGCGTACAGGTGACCAGCAGTTCCAAAGCAAATCCGAAAAAGCGACCTAAACTAATTAACGCCGGTTCCAGCCACCTCAAGCCGGGAGGGTACCTCGAACTTGCCTGCGTGTGGCCAGTGCCCAAGAGCGATGACGACACCTTGCCCAAGGAAGGTTCAGCGTACGTCGAGGTGTGCAACACGTTCCAAGAGATCGCAGCTCGGATCGGGGCCGCGCCTGACGCTCCTTGGAGCTACAGGTCGTGGATGGCCGAGGCAGGTTTCCAGAACATCCACGAGCACATCTTCAAAATCCCCACCTCTCCGTGGGCTCGGGATCCAAGGCTAAAGAAGGTCGGTGCGTTAGAGCTGGTGAATGTCATGGAAGGCGCGCAGGCATTCTTACTTCGGGGCTATACAGCGAACCTGGGCAAAACACGAGAGGAATTGGAGGTCTTACTAGCGCAGATGAGGAAAGAGCTTGTGAACCAACGGTTTCACAGCTATGTTTCATTGTAGGGAAACTTCCGTTCCCTCGGTGTGGAAAGGATCCAAAAGCTAATCCAATCTCTAGCGTTGTCGTATACGGGCAGAAGCCGGAGGCGTCATGACCGCGGTGTGGTAGGGCGACGGAACTTATACTATAGGATTTGACTAGGTGGTTAATGGACGCTATTATGACTTTACTAAAGTAATAGTTACGACAGTAGCACAACCACTAGGAAGAACTTATTTTTAGGATCCTATATCATTAGCTAAAATACTGTAGGGGAAAATCTATCCTTCTTCTATATTACGAGTCGCTTCACACGTGAGGTGTTACTAGTAAACCCTATATAGTTTACTTAGTAATATAGTAGTAGGATGGAGTAGCTAAGATAAAACTAAGAGTATAGTATACGAGCTAACGTACATGATAAGCGAGTGAAACAGACAAGCGAGTGAAACACCTCAACCGGACCACCCAGACATTTCATAGCTGTACAGCACCACAACACATTCTATTGTTTACAACTACTCAGAATCCTCTTCTTCAGATGAAGAGATAACTACTTGATATGTTCTGGAGTTATATCCGACGTTGTAGTAGACACTACACCGCCGCGTACGCGTTTCAGACCTCGTCCGTTGACCACTATCACCCGACGTTTCCTACTTAATCACTACCGTAATGCGACTCTAGGACTCTAGAAGCTATCCTTAATGTAGAGTTATACTCCCTCCTTCGCGGAGTTATTTCTTTTTGGCCCGCCGACGTCGGCTTAGTAGTGCATTCTCCTGTCGAAGGGTATTAACCTTAGACTTCAAAAGTGCGAGATGGTGTATGATTCCCGTCGCCCCCTTTATAAACTAGTTAATCGCCTCTAGAATCGGTGTCGGAGAGCTTTCTTAATGATGAGAGACTCGATTCTTAATAAAGGTAGACTATAAGCCGGCTTTAGTAGGGTTATTAAGGGTTTTTAAGATCTATACCTAGGTCTCGGCTTGAGCCTCTATATTAGGTATTAGTATCCGTAACTTCACATTAAGACGTATAATTACACTTTCCGGGTCGAAGGGTAGTAGTCCGGCCCCTCTAAACCCTACCTAGACATTAGCGATTGTCATTACTTACTGGAATGCGGCTAGAAAGGCGGGAAAGAAGTCCTCCTTGCTAATATAGTGTTACGAGTCGCTTCATACGTAAGGTATTACTAGCAAACCCTATAAGGTTTACTTAGTAATATAGTAGTGGGATAAAGTAGCTAAGACGAAACTAAGAGTATAGTATACGAGCTATATATAAAGCGTATAACCGAGAGGAACTCGATTATTTATGAACGAAGTTGACTACGAAGGAGAACTATAGAAAGTACAGTAGCTATATAGTAAGGAGATTCGTAGTACTCTATTGAACTATATTACTATGTTTAATATATATTAATATATTAACCTATATATCCCTTAGTAGTATATATTAATATATTACCTAGCCCTAATATATTAGTATATATATCCCTTAGCGACTACGTAG